ACTGTGTTAGTTAAATTTAATCCTTAAATTACAATTCACAAAAAACTTTTTACTTATAAATATTTATAATTTAAAAGCTAGAAATATCTGTACACTTTTCAAAGTATTTCAAATTGATTTAAGAATATATCCAAAAGTAGTGTTTGTCCTAGTATTTTAATAATATCCAATATTTGTTATTTTAGTTAAAATAAGTAATTATTAAAATTTTTACTTTAAAATATCTCAACAGCGTTTGAACAAATTTATTGTTGTCCCTAGCTTCGACGTAGTGCTTCCAGAGTTCAGTTTGATAATAATGGAAGCTGGAGGCGATTGGTGAAAGTGCTTGGTCCAGAAGAGTGAGAATCCTCTTAACAATGGGCATTTTTAACTGTTCAACCAATATTGTTAATCCAGTCTCACAATCCTGCCAGTATTGATGCTCCGCTATTGGTCCTTTCTTCGGAAGTACTTTGCTCTCGTATGACTCCATTACCTGAGCGATAATAAAAGAAAATTACGTAATATGTGGTTATTATTAAGATCTAACTTTTAATTATTCATAAAGAAATTATTTCAATTATCTTCACAATACATCAATACTGATGTTTTATCATCATTACCCATGTTTTTTTAATTTTATTTGCGATAATTTAGGACGCTACGTATATTGCAAATAATCCAAAATCGTAAACAGATTACACAAAAAGTATACGAAAAAGAAAGATATTAAATTATTTGCCTTCTGTATATGTTTCTCCCATAACATAACTACTTCTTCCATTTGTTCAACAATATCTTTATTCTTCAGCAACATATCATCTGTTATCGCAGGATCGTTCAGCTCTGGAATCTTTGGCATCGTCAGTAAGATATCGCTTTCGACATGCTCCAATGTCCTATATCATTAAAATTAAAATAACGAAACTGTTAATATAGAAAAAAAATTACTATTAAAAGATGGATGTAATATTGATCAATTTTTAATATAAAATGATAAGTCTAACCACTCCGTCTTCTCAATTAAATTGTCAAGATAATCTAAAATATCCTTCTTGATTTGCTCGCCCGCTGGCTGTTTTTTTATTTCCTTCGAACTAATTGATTTACTGGACTTGGACTCCGAAACGGATGGTACGGATCTTTTATCAAATCCTTTTAAACTTGACTTCTGTTTACGGTTCCTTGGGATCTCATCCTGCAAGGTAGCCACGGAGATTGTGGCGTTTCCTTCATCGTCTCCCTTTCTCTTTGCGTCCAGATTCTGTCGGGATACTAAACTGGACGCTGTTACGAAATGGGATGGTCTTCTCAGCATTGATCGCTTTAATAAAAGATAAAAGTCTTGAAATCATTTATTATTAATAGTTCATTATTTTTTATTATTGATCTGAATTAATACTGTGTGATATACAAGAGAGAGAAAAAGCTATATTTATATAGAAGACATTTGATATTTTGTAGAAAGCATTATTGTTATAATCATAGACATATAGATTGTTTACTGTTTTTTAATTAAATCATATTTTATCAAAATTTATTACGAACAATATTAAACCTCTTGTTAACGCAAACTTTCTCTATGCTACTTTCTCGATGCTTACCGCTTCTACATCTACGTTCTTCCGTTTTCCATTGTCCGCACTCTTCGTTTGCCATCGCTCACCAGTATCAGGCGTTCTGAATTGATTTTCTACTAATGGTTTAAATACCTAAGGAGCATTTCATTTTTTGCAAATTATTGAATTACTTTAGCTTTACATATTTCAATATGCTCATCCAATGTAATGTATTTTTCTTAAATTTGTGATATTAAAATGTCCATAAATTTTTGTGCTTTTAAGATAAAAATTGTTTTTATGATTCCGCAATCAATATGTATATAAAAAATTCTAAAATTTATATATGAAAAGAACGATAACTAGTTTAAATGTTCATAATGCTATAGGTTATTATAATTTATTGAAATAGATCGCAGTTGTAAAAGGAGTAATGACAGTATAATCGATCAATGAAACTTATGGTTAAAACCTCCGCACAATGAAAAATACAAGAGGAATAAGAAACAGATATTAGCGATAGGACTAAGGAATCAGGAATAAAGCTGGTGAATGATACATGACTTTTGATAGGAGTGATATGTTAAAAATCTATTGCCCATGTCATTCCCTGTTTATGTTGCCTATTTTTTTTATTGTGCATCCAGTTTTATGCCTGACTCTTCAGTCCTAATCGGTAATATCTGTTCCTTGTTCCTTATATATTTCATCGTGCGGGTGCGGGGGCCTTTATCGTGACTACCTACTACCTATATCGGACAGTGCTTACGTTGACTAGAATGCTATTCAAAGAGGATAAGAATTTCCTATCAAGCGAGCCGACCACCAAGTAGCTCGTGATCTCGTTCAGGCACTCTTCGTAAGTATCGAAGGAAGGTATACCCTCGTCGCTGGTGCGCATAAAATAGAAGAACGTGACGTCCTGCAGGTCGGCTCTATTGCCGTCTACTTGGCCGCATATCATGTGAAGCACTGGTACCTGACGGACTTTCTCCACCATTTTCTGCAATTGCCATAGATCGCTAGATAGTTTACGATCGGTTACTCAATGCCGGTACGTTTTAACTGCGGTTTAAATCGATTACTATATTGTCTCTTTCTGAAACCAGGAATTGAAGAAGGAGACAGCAAATTGGTTAACCGTTAAGCTCAAATTAACTGCCGCTGGTGAAACCGGAACGATCGGTCGAGTGATTAGATCTTTCTTTTCTTATCAAAAGGTTGATTTTTTTGTTATGTACAGAATTAACTGTTTAAAGCGATAATAAGTGACGTAAATGTGGTTATGATAATTCGCGCGTTATTCAGCTTTTGTATACAACCTTAGTCAAAACGTATTTGTCCTCTTCTCCAAGCGGTGGTGCGGAAACAGCGGAACTGTCTGAAGAAATCAATTGATTATTATATGCCACTATATATATTTTTTCGAAATAAATAAAATCTACGTGAAATTGTAGAATGTAACGTAGCTGACCGATAGATGCGCTTTTCAAATCTGCCTTTTTTTTAGGGTAACTGAGAAAATCGCCGCTGCCAGTCTGCTCTCCGTCATCTTCCTCCTCTTCTTCTTCCTCCTCGCTGGAGTCTTGTACACTGGACGTATGCAATGTGCTGGTACTCATTGCTGTGCGACTAGCAACTGAACTGGTATCTGTTTTGTTGCCTTTAGCTTTTCCCTTTTTACCTTTCTTTGC